TCCTTTTACACTGTAAATTGATATACAGATATAGGTCAGTCTAGTTTCAGTGGCGTCCCAACACATACCAGGAGGTGGCCAGTGATGGCTTCTGGGAAATGAAGACAGTGCTCTCTCCAAAACACAGCAGCACCACCACCACCAAGAGAAAGGAAAGCTGTACGAGCTCTTATCAAATGAGCAGGGTGCAAAGTGTTCACAGCAGGATCTGGACCAAAGAGTGCCACAGAAATCCACTGTGTGGGGTTGATGGATAAGCAAGACGATGAGGAAAGAGGTTTCCAGTATCCTTCTGTGGTGGGACTACTGCCAAGCTAAAGAGAGTGCAGGAGAATATAGATCTAAGCCATTGGGAGGCCCTCTAGCTGTCTTTCACATAAGTAGCTATCTTTTCTTCATTGTGATTTAACTCTAGTAATTGCTAAGCAGCTTATAAGATTTTAAAACACAATCTCCAAGAAGAGAAAGTTTAGGGAAGCCAGTGGCTAAATGTCCTGAATCACCTTGTAGACATTGTCCCAGTGATCTCTGTAGAACTTTCTGCAGCAATCTTTTGTGTGTCTTTGCAGCATGGTTATCTAGACCAGGATTTTTTCAACTGTCATGTGTGTGCATGTGTATGTATGTATGTTTGTGTGAACGTGTATATGTTTCTGTGTGTGTATATGTTTGTGTATGTGTGTTTGTATGTGTATGTGCTTTTGTGTGTGTTTGTGTATATTTGTGTGTGTATGTTTGTGTGAGTATATGATTCTGTGTGTATATGTTTGTGTGTATGTTTGTGTATGTATGTGTATGTGCTTTTGTGTGTGTGTTTGTGTGTGTGTTTGTGTGAGTATATGATTCTGTGTGTGTATATGTTTGTGTGTGTGTGTTTGTGTGTGTATGTGGGTGTGTTTTATGTTTGTGTGAGTGTGTGTGTACGCTGTGTTATAACTTTTGTCACTCACGGTTGCTTTTGTAAAATATTAAACAGGGAAGAATAAGATATGCCAATTGTGGGGCTGAAGGGGTGAGTCAGTGTTTAGGAGCACTGGCCGCTCTGCCAGAGATCCGGGTTCCATTCCTACCACCTGTGTGGCAGGTCAGAACTACCTGTAACAACAGGTCCGTGGAAGATCAGATGTACTCTTCTGACCTCCATGGGCACCAGGCCTGCCTGTGGTACATGGACGTGCATGCAGGCAAAGCACTCATGCACATAAAATAAAAACAATAATTTCTTAAAATAATTTAAAAAGACATGCCAGTGATAGAAACACAGCCAAACTCACATCAACGTGTCAACATGCTTCCTCAGGTTCTCTTTATATTGTTGTGGGTTTGCCAACTGCTTCCTGTCCACTCCCACACCTCGACAGGCACCAGGTTAGACTCGATTTCGGTATTTTCAAATAAGAAGCTGGAGGAGAACAGTCATGTAGAAGCTGTTCAAGGAAGGGGATCTTAAGGACATAAACTGCTTAAAAACTGGATACTTTAAAGCAGATTTTTAAACCTCAGAAGTGAAACTGAGTGGCAGAACGTTCTCCTTTTGAGTGTCTCTGCTGTTCCTGCCCCCAATGCAGAGTGAAGAATTCATAGCCAAGAATTCTTTCCAGCGCAGACCCTTCTGTGGGTTGGTTATGAGCCATTTGCGAGCCATAGGTGCTGACATGAAGCCAGTGATGGGCTCTCTTGAGTTCACGGATGTCCTCGCTCTGTCATTTGAGCCCAGAGCGAGCTGTTATTAGGCTGAACTTCCAGCCTCTCATTTTGGCTTCAAATGATTACAGCTGCCGGGGCAGCCTATGCTACAGTCGCTTCCCGCAACTGGTTCATGGTTAACGTCCCCTATTTAAAAGACTTAATTATGGTCAGAGTAGGGCCATCCCGCTTTGATCTGTTATCTAGAATGACCTACAAAAATCTGGACTCCTAATGGCCTCTTTTCTCGGCGATATCAGAAAAGCAAGCAGCCTTTAAAACATAGGGCCTCTGCCATGAACTCTCAGCGTTTCCAAGTACTGTCCACCAGAGATCTGTTGAGGGGGAGCCACAGGCTTCGTCTCCAGCAGCAGATGCAGTTCTTCCAGGGTTGTAGCTGAGTTTTCCTTCCCAGCCTGCTGTAGCCACTCCTGTGCATTACATCTGTCCCCATCCCTGCTCTTACGTCTCAGCCTCGTGCGTCGGTATAGGCCAGGGTCTCTAGTTTAACTCCCTTAATTTGACATTCAAAATATTCCTTGAAAATGTCTGATTAGGATCTGGAAAGGTGGCACAGTGGTTAAGAGCACTTGCTGCTCTTCCAGGGGACCCAAGTTTCGTTCCTAGCACCCAGGTTGGGCAGCTCACAACTGCCTGTAACTTCATCTCTAGGGGGATCAGACACAGCTGGGTTCCTTGGGCACGTACACTTTGTGTAGAGTACACACACACACACACACACATTAAAATAACAAATCTCTTTAAGTGGCTAATGCCATACTGAGGTACTGTAAAAAAAAAAAAGCATGTATCAGAGTTGAGTATTAGATCATTTTTATGTACCATGTATAATTTAACAAAAATATTAATTTGTTTTGTTTGACATCTCTTTGGGGAGGAGTGCCGGCCATAGCCTATGTGTGCAGGTCAGAAAACAACTCGTGGGATTGGTCCACCAAGTGGGTTCTGGGGCAGGGAGGAGAGGTGGGGGATACTCAGGGCATCATCAGATTGATGGCAAGTGCCTTTACCTACTGAACCGTCCCACTAGCTCTCAGAGAGTGCTTTCTGATGAAGAGCAGGTGGTACATGTTGTTCAAATGTACTGTTGCTTCAGTTCAGCCCTGGGTAGCTGCTCTTGGCTGGACGTTAACTCCCCTACGCAAACAGAACTTCCTTATCACTGTCCCTCTGTGAGTGATAATGAGCTTCGCTTGCGGAGGTGGGGCAAAGAGAATGCCAGCAAACTACACTGAAACCGTGTGAGCCTGATTTCTTATGAGGTGTTCACTTCCAGGAAGGGAGGGAGAGAGGGAGAGACGGGGGGGGGGGGGGGGGGGGGGGGGGGGGGGGGGGGGGGGGGGGGGGGGGGAAGGAGAGAGGGGAAGGAAAAGCAGTTAGCAACAAAGCTTGCTTTAAAAGATAATAAAAGTCATAGTGCACCCACACTGAGACAATGGAGATGCTCTATCGGGAACTCACCAAGGCCAGCTGACCTGGGTCTGAATAAGCCTGGGTTAAAACTGGTCTCACTGAACATAGAGGACAATGAGGACTACTGAGACATCAAGAACAATGGCAATGGGTTTTTGATCCTATTGCATGCATTGGCTTTGTGGGAGCCTAGGCTGTTTGGATGCTCACCTTACGAGACCTGGACAGAGGAGGGTTTTCCTTGGACTTCCCACGGGACGGGAGGGAGGGAGGGGGACATGATTGGGGGAGGGGGAGGGAAAGGGGAGGCGGAGGTGGGGAAGAGACAGAAATATTTAATAAATAAATTTAAAAAAAAAGTCATATGTGGTAATACTTTTTAAATGGAAGGGACCAGAATGAAAACATATTTCGTATGAACAGTGACCTGTGCTACTTTAAGAAGCTAGTGACAACTTAGCCTTTGCTGTCTACAGAAGGAACAGAAAGAGTGAGAATAAGTGTGGCTAAGGAAAAGGCATAGGGAATGAGAACCTGATGGAGGTGAAACCCTAGCTTCTCTTCAGTGGGTTCTTTGGTGCACTGTCTTGTGGTCTGCTGGAATTTGGGGTACAGAGGGGAGCTGTGCTCTCTGTTATTTTGCGAATGTACCCTCCCCCAATGCTGTACCATACCCGCCCCCAGCCAATGCCTGTAGGTCACATCTTGTGCTTGGAAGGAAGCGGAGCTACAGCGTACAGTCCTGGGGAGGAGACTGTATTTATTTTTTTATTTTACGTTATTTCAGCTGTTCTCACTTTTTTTTTTTAATTCTGTCCTTGTTTCCTACTGAGTCCATTCTTCAGCAGTTGTGGAGACAGGAACATTGAGTTATGAACCCCTGAGCACACAAGGAGTAGAAGGCAGTTTCCCGTCTCTTGGCAACCCAGGCAGCATCTGGGCCATGTTGGCTTAACCCTCTGTGGGTCTGACTGATGTGGGATGTGTTTAAGAGCTGTTTAAGTGTTAGGCATATAAAATTATTTCCATTCCCCACGGTTCAATACTCTAACTTAACACACTTAACAAAGGTAGAGTTATGCTTACTCTCTAAACTTCCCCAAGTTGCCGTGGATCTGGTCCTATGCGTAAGTATCTGATGTCTTTAAGCCTTAACAATTTGTGTTAAACACTCTATCACACTTGAACTTTTATTTCTAATTTCCCACAATCTGAACTCCAAATGTGTATGACCAGTACTTGTGGAATCAAGAAATCATCAGCCTGGGGTATTGTTCTTCGAATTCTGTCTGCTTTGGTTTTTGAGACAGGATCCTCATTGTCCTGGGATTGGATAATTGTACTAGGCTGGTTGGCCAATGAGCAAGCGCCAGTAATGTGCCCATCTCTGCCTTTCCGGTATTGGGATTACAATAAGCATGTGTTGTCACCAGTGTGAGCTTTTTCATGTGGGTGCCAGGGCTTGAACTCAGGTCCTCACGCTTGCGCAGCAAGCACATTCCAACTGAGCTATTCCCTGAGACCCCTGAATTTTTTAAACACATAAACCATTCAAGGGCATAGGAAATAGCCTGCCCAAACTTTGACATTATCACTAACTGTGACCAGCATCCATAGAAGAAAGCTCTGATGGAGTGGGAAGCTGGGGGATGCGTTAATGTAGGCCATCCTGTCCCTCTCCTTGCTACAACGGCATGCTCCTTAATAGGCAAGTATTATGCTCGCTAATGAGAGAACATCTGTCTGTCATCTGTGGTGGAGGTAATGAGTGCATTAGTACCATAATTATTTGAAACAGATGCCAGTGATTCATCTTGCATATTAAAAATGTCTTAGAAGAAACCAGGAGTCCTAAGGCATCCTTCTCATTGGCTTCACAGGATTACCTTGCCTGCATCCGGGACCAAACAAAACTTCCCCTGGGGACTGAAGATAGGGCTGCTCTTTTTGGAAACATTCAGGATATCTACCACTTCAATAGGTAAGTCAATACCCTAAAGGTTGTTCTCGTATCAGAACGCTGTGAACTGCTCTCGGTCAACCACACCTAAGACATCTTTGCCCATAATCCTTGGTTCAGCTTCGCAAATGTTGTCTCTCTCTGTCCTCCTGGCTCAGAGAAGAGACTTAGCTCCCTGGAAGATCACTGAGGTCTTTTGTCCACAACAGAACGCAAGTGGGACATCCGAACATCACACTCACTGGTTTGGTCTCCAGAATCGACCCTAATGCTGGATTTTCAAGATGCTTTCTTCTGCCTAGAGAGTGTTGTGGGCCTAAGAGACAGACAGTAAACTCTAAGTTATAACAATAATTCCATTTCACAGATAATTATGCACTACAAATTATTACAATATTCTTGCATCTATTTGTGGTGTGTGTGTGTATCGCAGTAAGAGAAAAACTTGCAGGAATTGTTTCCTTCCCCCATGTAGGTTCCAGAGAAGGAACTCCTGTCCCCAGACTTTGGCAGCAAGCACCTTTACCTGTTAAGCCATCTTGCAGTCCCCAGTTCAAATAACTTAATTCACATCTGTATTAAATAGCTTCTAGGTGGGGGACCCTAGGCTAGAAAGTTACACGGGTATCTAAGGCTGGAAGCTGCAGGGAGTGGAAACAGGTTTGTGAGCTGTTGTAGGTTTGTAGCACAGCTTGGGAGACACAGAAGGCAGGCTAAGAACACAGGCACCACTGTTTATCCTTTATGAATTGCATCTTGGCTCAGCTATGCACACATCATGAATGAGTCTTCAAGCTGAGCTAAATCACTAAACCCTTCGCTAAGGGTTTCTCAACGAGGCTCTACCAGGACACACACACATGCACACATACACACACATACCCTCATCTCTTCTACTTTTTCTCATTGACATTCCACAATATCTAACATGTATTATGATGGGCTTCTCACAAAACATTCCAAGGGCAAGAATGTGTTTGGTTAATGCCAATGGATCTCAAACAGCTGTCTGGCTCATGGGAGACATTCACACTTTTATGAACAAATGGATTCACATGCCAGGAGATGCCATCTCCTGTGGCTGTGGGGAAGCTCTTAGCTGACATACCCAAAGGTCCAGCTCGGTGTCATCACGAGAGCAAGCATCAAAACATTCCCATTGGAGGTGTGCATTTGACACAGTGAACTGCCATCATAAAACTTTATATCACCCTTGTTCTGTGGCTCAAATATACTACAAGCTAAGCCCTATCCCTCTTTACTTATTCAGGCCAATACAGATGAGTTCCCCAGAGTCAGGGTCCACTTGTCTCTTTGGAACCCTAATATTTAGCACCAGCCTGGCTTACAGGAGGCAAGTTTCTCCAGTTCTAACAAGCTAGCTCCTAGGAAGCCCTAAGGCTATATCAGGGTTCCACTTGCTTGCTCTTATAGACCCTGAGAATCGTTTTGTATCTTCTGAGCTCATGCTTCTCCTGGGCCACCAACTGAAGCACCTAGGAAGCTCTCCTTAAAAGCCACCATGAGGGTACAGTTGGTAGATGGGGTACAGCTGGTAGATGGCTTACTGAGCATGCCCGAAGCCTTAGGGTGCTCGGCTCACCATGTGGAGGCAGGAGGATCAGAAATGAGGAGGTCATCCTCAGCCACATAGTGAGTTCAAGGTCAACCAGGAATCCATGACGCCACATCTCAAAATAAAAGAACAAGTAATATCTGGCCTAAATGGAATCATACCTCTCCTTTAAAAGCTCAGAAATTCCTAAAAGGGAGACAGAGAGACTGTGAGAGCAAGAGCTGGTGGATGACTCCAAAGAAACAGCGTTTTCCAGGCCCAGCAGGGCTGACGTACATATGAACTCACAGGCCATAAAGTCATGCACTGGATGTGCACAAGATCAAGCCAGAGAAAATCCCAGCATGGAAGGGTAGTGGGCATGATGTCCTGCCCCTCACCAAGAAGCTGTTGGAAACTGACAGTTGCTGGGAGAGGGGAAATGGGTTTTCTTCAGTGGAGTGGCACTGGGTATATCAACCACGTTCCTGGGTGAGCCCAGTGCTCAGGCGTAGTCAACCAACATAAACGGGACCCCCTCGGAGCTTCTTCTTGTTGTTGTTACAAAAGAGAAAGAAGTAAATTTGGGTGGGTAAGGGGGTTACAGGGAATCAGGGAGGAGTTGGGGGAGGGTGAAAATCTGATAAAAAAATGCTGTATGAAATTCTCAAAAAATAAATTAAAAACATTATTTTTAAAGCAATATTGGGACCCTACTTTCAGAAATGGACTCATCCGTCTGGGACGGGGCCACGGCCTCAGAATTTTCAAAAAGGCCTTCGGGTATTTATAATGTGGAGTCGCAACAGAGAAACACTATCTGGGTAAATCAGCTCAGCAATGAGACAGTGAGAAACACATCAAAAACTGAAGAAGCCACACTCACTAGTGATGTGCTGGTTTTAAAGCAGGCCCCTATTTAGCAATGCCACGAGTCCTGGCATAGTATCACTTTCTAGAGCCCGCTAATGATACTGTGACCCAGAAAGATGCTAGATACTGAGAGATCCCTGCCCTAGCTCATCTGTGGTTTGGCAATAAATTGATGGTGACCAGTACTTGAGGAGTGTTTCCTTTTGCCAGAGGCCAGACAGCCTCTAGAGCCGTCTATGTCATCCAAGAGTGCCTGCCTGCATAGCAGGACCCTGTGCTTCAAGCCCTGTATGAAGTTCAGGAAGCTATGCCTAACCTCAGGAGGGATTTTCACTCCTTGGAATTTACATGTGTGTGTCTCCTAGTCTAAAGGAAGAAAAACGTGAGTTAGCGAGACGGGACTCAGCAGCGAGACCCATTACGCAAAAGCTAGATATCTCGAAAGACCTTTCTACTCCTGAACCCATTCTTCATTCTTTTCTGTTGGATGTCCGCTGACGCTGAGAGCCATTCCTGTCTGAAATATGCCTGGGTCAGACAGAAGATGAATATACAGGGCGTGGTGCCGTCATGCCATGGCAGCCCATCACGTTCATGCCAGTGGTTGCAGAGATCACACTTGGCATTCACGGTTCAGGCAGTACCTTAATCCTCTTAGCTGTTCTGTGAGGTGGAGAGAATGCAATAAGACACACACATTTTATACATGAGGAAGCAGCCTTTGAGGCCACCAAGTCCTCTGTTTCCAGGTAAAGCCCAAGACTGGGCCACTTTGGATATTGCTTTTGTCAAATTCTCATGTCTTCCTCTGTTTTGAAAAATTATCTCTTATTTAACTTTGCTGTCGAATTATCTGGGTTCTGTGGGTTGGTTAGTTGTTTGCCTGTTTGTTTATTTGTTTGAGACAGGGTCTCATTATGTCGGCCAGGCTGTCCTCAAACTCAGTCTTCGTATGGTAGCCTCCAGGGTACTGGGATTGCAGAGGTTCACACCCATGCTCAGCTGCATACAGTAGAATTGTTGCCTTTGCTTTGTCCCCATTTGTTTGGATTTCTGTTTTCTTATATCTAGAATCTAAATTTGTAATTTAGATGACCCTGTGGTTGCTACTGTTGGTTAAAATGAGAACACCAATGTGACTTTAAGTCACTGCTCATGCATCTTTAATGATATTCCAATTGATTTCTCAGATGCAGCTGTCTGGCGAATCATGACGGAGCTTTAGATAATAGACTCTAAAGTTCTGCTGTTAGTAATTCCCGATTTTTGAGCATAGTGTTATAATATTGTATCTAACTAGGTAAGACTTAAGTCTCCAAAAATTAAAGGGGGGGGGGCGTATATTAGCCTGAAAACTTTAGCTGATTGGGTTTCATTTTTCTAAGACACACAGATGGAGCAAATCTAAATCTGAAAATCCAAAAAATTGGGAACTTTTGGAGCACTGGCCAAAGTTGAAAATTCCACATCTGATCTCATGTAATGTATCACAGCCATAACTCAGACCCACTGAAAACTACGAAATTGCCTCCAAGCTGAACGTACCATCTGCAGATGAAAATAACAGAATTCGGGTCTACACTTGGGTCCCGTCTTTAAGATAAAGAAGGCACTATGTCTATGCAGATACTCCGAACCCCAAAAGTACTTCTGATCCCAAACGTGTGGGTTAGGAAACCCTTGACCTGTGTATTTCCAACACACAGAAAATATAGAATGATACAATAGTCTGTATTCTATATCATTCTGTATTGTATTTCCGAAGCTTTCTTGTACCATATTTACTTTTTAAATTCCTCACATTTTAACGGCATCAAAGATCTCACTGAAAACCTCTCCTATGCCCTTCTCCAATGTCATTCTGCCCTGTGCAGAATGATAGAATACACTTAGTGCTGGCACACCAGTTCTCTGGCGTGGCAATGCAAGACAAATCTGGAATTGACTGAGACTGAGATTGTTATAAGGCATAAATACACCCATCCTGGTGTCATCCTCTCGTGTATTAAAAACTGGAGAAACAAATGGCTTAGATGCCAAGAACCTACGTCAGTACTGAAAAAGGAATGGGAGAGATGCAGGGTCAGTTAAGATAGACCAGCTTTCCCTGAATCCCTGTTTCATGGTAACTTACTATGCAATATGGTGCTCCATTTCCAAGCTGGCTTTGTTTTCTTTCCTGTTTTGCTGTATAGCAGTGATAGGGCAATGTTTCTAGGGACGGAACCCAGGGCCTCGCACATATTACACATACATGTGTTCTACCACCCAGCCACACGCCCAGCCTTGGGGTAGGAGTTTTGCCATCATTACATATATCTTTACTTGCTATATGCCCCCTGCTTTCCCTTGGTTCATACATGGCATGAAGACTGTAAACTCCCACAGGTTTCTTTTTTTCCACTCAGCATCATTTTTGAGCTTCAGTCCTCCAGTTCATGTAGCTGTCACGTGACTCTTCCCAGGGAGGCTCTGGATTTTGCATTGGGCCAATTGCAATAGGAATGCCCATGTGGAGCCCTCCTTGCTCCCTTCCAACACTGGTTTAATTTCTCCCAACTGACCCCTCCAATGGGCTTAATTGTTACTGTTT